AAAAATTCTGGAACATTTTTGCCGAAGCTTATATCAAAAACTACCTTCCATTCTCCTCAATATGGACAGAATTAAACATCCAGCTGAACGATTTCGGTTCAGGACGAGCTGACACTATACAGCGTATTTGTGCCTAAACACTTCTTTGGTTTCATATCAGTTCTAATTTTCCAGCGGCAGTCCACTGACCATGGTGCCAACATCAGCCGCAGCGATTCCTTCATCCGGAAAGCGTTGATTCAGTATGACTGGTCCATGATTGATTCGTACAATGGTCCACGAAGTGTCGTCTGCACTCTGGTGGTCCGGACTATTTAGAGCGCGGCACGAGTAGTTCCCCTTGTCTGCCCATTTCAGTGGTTTCGCAAATAATAGCGTACTTGTGGCTGTTTGCGAACAGTGTGCACCACAGCTGCAAGAATGTGTCGGTTACTGTAGATCTACGAACTAGGTGGATAAAAGCCTCACCTAGATTTTACAATTACGGTCTCAATCTTGTAGCGTTTTCTATCAATCCGATGCCCATCTTTGTACCAGCGAAAACTCGGTGCCGGAAACCCCTTCGCTTCGCATTCAAGAGTACTCCCGGGCTGTTCCATTTTGAGCAGCCGTTCCTTTGTCAAATGACGAGAAATCCACGCCGGTTCGATGACCTCAAAGTTAAAACATGTCATCTCCGCAGGAGGAAGAGGAACGACAATGGATGTGGAACGCTCACAGTCACATCCACCACTGCTTCTTTGCCTTTTCCATGCGCATTGTCCGCTCGGCAGCGATAACGACCGTTGTCAGCGAGCTGCGCGTTCCGGACAGTCAGCTGCGTGTGATCGTGGTCACGGATTCCAAAAAGGCCACCGGACGACGGTGACGCCCACTAAAAGACCTTTGTAGAAACACATAGAATCAATTTCTTAAGCAATACTTCGCAAAAAAAGATTGGATTATTGTTCTAACTACTAGCCAACTTTCCGCTGTTCATAGGACACTACAGCGAAATTTTGCTAGATAAACAGGCTAACAAAGAAGCTCTTCTGCAATCTTTTTAAGTTCCACAGCTTCTGTGTTAAAAA